TGTGTGTGTGTTGTGTGTGTGTGTGTGTGTGTGCGTGTGTGTGTATGTATGTATATATATATGTGTGTGTGTGTGTGTATATGGTTACATCAACAAAATATAAAACACACGAATTGCACACAAGATACAGGCTCACTATCCGGTGATGTGATCAATGTTCTACTCACTTGCCAACCACCTGTAGCTCTCCCCCAGGGTGTTCCCAGTAGCTGTAGGCTAGTGCGTAGTGCTGCTTAGCTTGTTGGTAGCTACATTGCACACAGGATATACACAACAGAGGTACCACACTGAGTACACTCTTATTGATACCCAACATGTTGATGATACCGTGAACGATATTTATAATGTCAATGTGACTGCATGCGTATAAATATTGTCTCTATAATATCAATATGCATTATGTACAGTATGTACCATACTTCTGAAAATTGAACCAAAAAAGTAAACAAGCAGATTTTGCTGTTCGATTTTAATTGGTTTATTTACAACCATGATTAAACAATGATTATGTATTTATCAAAAAAAAAATTAATATATATATATTTAGATTTATACGTCCGATCACTGCGATCACTCGATCACTCTTCACTCGATCAAGAGAGTTCTCTGAGAATCTGAGGAGTTGTCTCTCCCGAAGAGTCTCTCTGTCTCTACTCTCTTGTGTGAGTTGTAAAAGGATTCTGAAGCCTGAAAGCCAAAGAAGGTCTTTACATATTCTGCAAATTACAGAGTATTTACATATACCGATTATATACGATCAGTAGATCACAGATTGCAGAGAAACTGGCAGGGAGGCGAAAACAGAAGTATATGTATATACAGACCAAGACTCATGTAGTACAATGATATATATTGCAGCAAATCGCAAGTTGTAATCAAACCTAGTAAAGGATGGGTATGTCTAAAGTGTTGTTGTTAATAATTCGCCCGAGCACGTAATTGCAATGACTGAGGAGTACATAGATAAACCTATATACACTTATGTATGTACATATGTACAAGTTTGTCATTGGTAAAATGGCAACCATTATTACCTATGTTTCTTATGGCCACAGCCTCTGTGCGTTATTTACAGAACACCCGTAAATTTGTTATGTTGTAGGGATGGGGGTGATGTATATAGGTGCGTGCATACAAAGCGAAGTATGGTAGCATCACCCACGACTAAATCGTCTGTATGAAAACAGGAAGATTAAAGACCAAACTGAACAACAATGTAGCCCTGGTGACTTCAAAATAAACAACAAAGCCACATAAATATACGAGCACCGATAAGCGAATGTGGTACGAGCCTTTTGCCTACGAAAAGGGTACAAAGGTACAGTACTATAGTGCCATGCACTGCCGCTGAAGCGAGCTACCAGAACAATTAGAAACGCGGCTGCAGCAGAAAACATCTACGATGTTCTCTGCCTGATCAGGCCAGCAACAACCACTGGGCAGCACTAAACAAGCATACAGAAGAAAGATGGGTCGAGCAATACACTCTTCTGGTCATTTATTCACCCACACACTGCTTCACTCGAATGCAAGTTGATGGTCAGGCAATGGGCCAACGTTAGGGTGGATGTCTTGTTGCGTGATGTATTGAGTACGATCGGGTACACAACAGTACTCGGAAATCGCTATAGCATAGGGTGTTAAGTTTACGTGGAGAGATAAGGAAGAATTGCAGAATCTATGTAGGCCGGTCTATTTTAAACATATTCTGGCTACGTCGCTACGTCATTGACAGATTGCGAGCACCACCACACGGCATCTCCAATTGATACAGAGTAAGCACATATAAGGCGCCGTTTAGTCGACGGTCTCGTGACTCGCAGTTAGCGCTTAATACTGTTAATGACTGAATGCATAGTACGTATAGCAGCATGCTACGCGTGTTTGAGTATACCGCGAGAAGGCAGGAGAACAAAAACATATTATATCCCTAGGAAAGCAAAACCATATTCTACCCCTAAATAAGGTTCACAGTATTGTTCGGTGCTATCAGATCGTCCGACGAGTTGTGTTTTTAGATACACGGCACACACTGTTGACTGTAAGTTTTACAGCTATACTCATGTTTTCATACCCAGCTCACTGGGACTGACATTGGAGACTCAGGTTAGCAAACACTATATGTGTGGCATCTGCCAACCGTAATTGGCATCCTCTTACACGCCATGTAGTCGCCAAACGATTCTCTTTGAGAATCCGACAAACAGTCTTTACTAACCCATTGATGAGAATAGACACATCCGAATTGATGATATATCTGTATGTGTTTATTGCGGAGCGACTGGTACTCAATTTCATACACTAAACCCTAATTTCAATTTGGCGACGGTCGTATGTATAAAGGTGTCACCTATCATTGTAGCGACGAGCGGATAGAAGGCAGAAGCAGTATGGGTCTATGTGGCCTGTGGCTATGTACATTCAAATAGTAAAATACAAATCACATCACATATGTACTCTTCAGCTCTACTGTAGATGTTTATTTACATGTATATACATATATGTAGTTATCATTGATCATATGACACTAAAATTGGACAAATATTGACACTCACGAGTCTCGGGGAAATACGAGCAACAAGTTATCTGACAACAGTTAACGTTGGCCAATAACACGGAAGCTTTGTGACGAGTTTAGCGCAGAATAGACCAATGATAAGCGAGTATATAAACTTCGGCTTATTTTGTTACCATGATGATTTTTGTGAACGAATGCGGTCTAAAAATAAAAATAAATGAACACCTGTGCGGGATATTCATGTATGTGCATGTAGGAGAAATACACGTACATCATACCGTATATATATCTGTGTAGCCGACCACAAAGGATAGCATACTATCACTCATCATGTTCGCCACATACAGCCCTTTACGCATTGTTCTTTTTGCCATAGCACTTGCGGTATGTATATATCTGTCCTTCTCGTTTGTTGCGTTTTCTACTTTGATTTTTCACTTTCATCGTTTTCACACGATTGTGGTATCTACAATATCATGATCGCGTATGCATGAGTGTATTAGTACATGCTGTGTTGTGTGTGTTTACTCTCATACATGCATCGGCAGCTACGTTTGTGTTATTCATGTGCGCGTTATACCAGAGTGGTTGTGGGTGGGGATACACTCACCCAGTGTGTTGTCTATCTCCACAAAGCACTCACTTTCGCCAGTGGCTAATCTTGCAACTTTCTCTCATACAGTGTCTACTCTCGAGTGCAACAGCAGTGAGAAAGTCAGAGTACACAGTCGAAGAAGTGCAAAAGGCTCGTGATAGTGGCAAAGATCTGTGTGAAGACTTTGGAGGCATTAGTTTCTGGGGACACGAAGATCACAACGGTATGTGGAATACTGTACGTGAAAACTGAGACTAAGCAACAAGTGTCACTACTCGATTGTAATTAGTTTACACCATCAACTCCTAGACAAAATTAGTTTAATCATGCTGGTGCATACTACGTAAGTTTGTTGTGAAACCCCTCACACCTTATGTCCTCACATACTCACGTTGAAAATGTTTGCACATGCTGCAGAGGTCTGTTGTAAGAAGAACTGTGGCAAATGTGGTGGCACTGGCTGCAACAGCCGACTGGGTAGCGGCGAAAACTGCTGTGTATCCCCTATTATAGATAACGCCAAGGAATGCAAAGGTAAGTATGTTCAAATGGTGACTAATAGTTGACTCAGTTATAGTTTAAAGCATACAGAGGAATGTGCAACTATACATCATAGATGAGGCCCAGGATACAAAGATAGTATGTTCAAGTGGTGACTAATTGTTGACGGCTTAGTTATAGTCCACGATATACAGAGGAGTGTGCAACTATACTCCACAGAATAAGAGTGTAAGTGCGGTTGTCATTCGTACCCATTCTGTCGTACACCATACAAGCATGGGCAATCCTGAAAACGCGGTTTATTCGCGTCGCAACAACACTCCACTGTTCACGTGCATACCTGACAGCCTGTAGTACACATGTACTGAGTTTATCTGCTAATCTGCTGTCACTTTGGCCTATAACAGGTAAAGAGGACGCACCCTGTGTGCTGCCAGGACTTCCACTATCCTGGTAGTAGTGATGTCAACAGCCGCTGTGGTCGTGTGACTCAGACTCAACATGGGGCACTTAGCAAAATGACTTACCTACAAAACAACCCACAAAGCCGTCGTATCCCGAGACTTGACTCTAACTCTGTACACCAGATGACAAACACCGGACAGGAGTGGTTTACCCCACCTGATGAAGACACAAGCTTGTACGTAGTTTGATGTAGCCAATAAGACGGCTTCCTCTCTGTGGTATACTACCTGCTCGTGGTACCTACACAACTCCCACCGTGGCATTCTGCCGTGGAAGTGCCCCTCCAGATGTACTCATCTGCTGCCTACTCTCCTGCGAAGCCTCGAGCGGCCTACAGCGTTGCGGGCGTACGCTCCTGTGGCTGCCGCTAGGTTTATGCAGAGGCTAAACCCAACCCAGTGTGCGTTTAAATATGCCCAGGATAGATGGATGTGTATTTGGGCATACTAGTATAATCACAACTGATTGCGTTGCAAATACAACAGCTTGTATTGCTGTTTACGGCGACTAACTCATGCGCGTCCCAATTACGTTCATAACAGCGAGAGTGAGATACGATACCAGCAGTCGTAGATGTATATAGGGGAGCAGTTTAAATAAACTGGGGTTTTATGGTTTGTAGGCGAGGATGAAGCAATTGAGTTTGTGAAGAGTGATGTGAGAATAGCCATAAGCCATTATAAGCAGGTCTCTTATAAGAGCTATGAGTATATCCACTCAGTCATAAACCATTACAAGCACGTCTCTTGTAAGAGCTATGAGTATATACACTCACAGGGCAATCAGAGTTGTAATAGCTGTCTCTGTTACTTCGCTGTGACTATAGGCTGCGCGTGTGGCCCAAAGGTCTGTGCGAACTCGTCAATGGCAGTGTATTGTTTGCTGCTCAGCTCGCATTACTTTATGTACATCCAAAGTATGCGATCGGGGTCTATATGTATGTACGTGCGTATGTATATATATATGTAGGTAAGTGCGTCTGTATGTATGTCTATATGTATGTGCGTATGTATGTACGTGCGTATGTATGTATGTATGCGTGTATGTACGTGCATATGTATGTAAGTATGCATGTACGATATACGTGCGTATGTATGTATGTATGTACGTGCGTATGGATGTATATATGTATGTATGTACGTGCGTATGTATGTACGTATGTACGCTATATGTCTGTTCATACAGACACTCAACTGGAAACAACTGGAAAGGCGTCGTTGAATTGACAAGTGCAATGTGAGTACTTCTTAAGCCTAGTGCTAGTCGTACACAACAGTTTATTATAAGTTCGTACTGATTATAAAAATAGTGTTGTAGTGTGTGGCACAACCTTACCACGTGACATGCACCTCATGATCTGAAAGCGTTTACTGAAATGTAAACTTGGTTCAAACTCGTACTATTTATAATGAAATGAAAGCTCGGCTGCATCAGCTCAGTCTATGTGAGCTTTCGGCAATTACTAATTAGTTCTGTCCTCTCTTCTCGACACCAAATCTTAGGGTTTAGGGGTTTAGGGTCTGTTAAGATCATTTGATATTGACCAGAAGGTTCGGAGGCGGTGGCAAAGCTAAACGCGTAGCACCAGAAAATATTTTTTGAGGTGCAAACACAGGGCAGCAGGTGTAACCACCATTGCCAGCAGTAGGTGCAGCCTTGGGGTGCAAACGGCCACACGTCTGCTACCAACCCATGCACCAGCATAAGTTTCATCTCTCCCAGTCACACACTTGGCTATAGGGTTCAGATAAAACCCTAAAACCCAGCCACACACTTGGTCCGTTATGGTCCGTTCGTTATATTGCGTTTGATCACGACAGAGGACGGAAGATTGTTATAAGTGTTGCCATGGGCTACAGACGCAATTGTCAAAAAACCCGTAAAACTCTAAATCGGTCTGGAGTGTGATCGGAGTATTGTGGGTGTCCTTGTGTAGGTATTCCTGAGTGTCCTTGTGTAGGTATTCCTGGGTGTTCTTGTGTAGGTATCCCTGGGAGTCCTTATATAGGTATTCCTGGGTGTCCTTGTGTACGTTTTTGGGTGTCCTTGTGTAGGTATTCCTGGGTTTCCTTGTGTAGGTATTCCTGGGTGTCCTTGTGTAGGTATCCTGGGTGTCCTTGCGCAGGTATTCCTGGGTGCCCTTGTGTACATATTCCTGGGTGTCCTTGTGTAGGTATTCCTGGGTGTCCTTGTGTAGGTATTCCTGGGTGTCCTTGTGTAGGTTTCCTGGTGTCCTTGTGTAGGTATCCTGGGTGTCCTGTGTAGGTATTCTGGGTGTTCTTGTGTAGGTATCCTGGGTGTCCTGTGTAGATATTC